GTTTTCTCATGCTCGTTCATGTGCACCAATGTAATAGGAAGCAATGTGACCGTGTGGCATGTATGATGTAACTTTTACTTTGAGTTTTATCTTAATAAATCTTATATTTAACAGAGTTGTAGTTCTCACTACCCCAAGTGCCCAACAGGTTATGGGACCAGGGAGTGTTAAATTAATGAGTGTATGGATATGGTAGTGAAAGCTGTGCCTTAGTTGTTGATAGCCTCTTGTGTGGTGACTGGTGAACATTAATATTTCACCATGGCTACGACTGGGACTAATAATTCTTCTACAACTACTTGTGGGAGTCTTTCCACTGCCGTGCCTAACATAGAAAAATTGGAAGGTCAGCAAAATTATGGCAGTTGGAAATTCTCTATGAAGATGTACCTCATGCTTGAAGGACTTTTCGGTTATGTGACTATCTCTCCCTCTACTTCGAATGACGGAATGCCAAAACCGCCAAAGAAGCTTGGGACAACTTAAAGACAGCTTATGAAGGTCATAGTATGGCAACTGTTTTTGAAATGACTCGTAGGCTATTTAACACTAAACAAGATAACTTCTCTTCAATGGAAAGCTACCTCACAGACATTCCCGAAACAGCTCAAAAACTAACTGATATGGGTGAGCCTATAGAAGACAAATGGATTGCTTCATCATGATGAATGGTGTGTCAGGTGATTATGAAGCCTTAATTTCTTCAATTAATCAACAGTCTAAAGACAAAATTAAGTCTGAAGAGGGGAAATCAATCTTGTTGAGTGATAATGAACGACGTCAAGTGAGATCTGGAGAGTTTTCAAGTTCTTCGGTGCTATTGGCAAGTTCTAAGAAAAATTATGGGAACTTTAAAATGAACAAGACAATGAAGATTTATTGTTATAATTGTGGAGATCCCTCACACAAAAGGCCTAACGGTCAAAAACTGAACAAGGATAGTGATCCAAAGTCTATCAAAAATTCTCCAGTACAAGAATAGGCCTCCTGATAAATGTTATAGGCCTAAGCCCAATCCGAGGACAGTTACGACTTCTGCACTATTATCGAAGACAAATCAGTCCGAATCGATAATTGACAGCGGGGCGACCAACCACATGGCATGTGAGAAGAACAACTTTATTAACTTGTAGTAGGCCTACAGGACAGTTATGCAAAAAAAGGCCCTAACCTAGAACAAATTAGTTCAAATGTAAACTCTTCTGGAATGTGTTTGGGACACACTCCTTAACACTTCCAGAGAATTCCCAAAAAATCCCACTTCAGCAAAATCCGCCATCTTGGAAAATGGCGGCGAAACAAATCAAACTTGCAAGGTTTTACAAAAAATGATATAACTACAGATTTATTCGACTTATAATAGTCGTATGAAGCTCAAACTACTCTAAAGAAAGTTTACTTGAAGAAAATAACACATTTATTGGTATTTCATAGTTTTAATATACAGGGTGAGTTTTAATTGTCCCCCCCCCCCAACTTTTTCTACATTTTTTCAAATATCAATCCCAGACCACTTCTAAACATTGTTGGGTAGTAAGTACTTCATTTTGACAAGGTGGTCATTTCCGGCCGCCATCTTGGATCCGCCATATTGGAAGCAAAATATTTTTTTCAAAAGTAAAGGTGGGGTTGTGACCCATTATTTCGAACTAGATTTTTACCATAATTACAATGCCGTAAACCATTTTTTAAAATCTTGATTCGTTCTAAAGTTATGAGGTCTTTTTAAAACTTTATTTTTAGCCCATTTTAACATTGTGCATTTACAAACTAAGACCATAATCTCAAAATAGTGCTAGATAAAGATAAGTATACACTACCAGTTATTGTAAACCTATTTTCACTTATTTACGACTGATGTATTTTTTTCGGCCGCCATCTTGGATCCGCCATTTTGAAATGGGATAAATTATTTTAAATATGAAGGGTGAGTTGTGACCCATCATTTTAAACTACTTTTTTAAGCTAAACTCAATGCCGCAATCCATTTTTTGTTATCATGTTTTATTTATAGAACATTGCAATATTTTTTTTAAAAATGTTAATATTTCAAAATCAAAATATGAAAATGAAAAATGGGTCATGGAATTGAGTTCAGCTTAAAAAAGTAATCCGAAATGATGGGTCACAACACCCCTTTTATATTTAAAATAATTTATCACATTTCAAAATGGCGGATCCAAGATGGCGGCCGAAAAAATACATCATTCATAACCAAGTGGAAAAAGGTTGGCAATGACTGGTAGTGTATACTTATCTTTATCTAGCACTATTTTGAGATTATTGTCTTAGTTTGTACAAGCACAATGTTAAAATGGGCTAAAAATAAAGTTTTAAAAAGGCCTCATTACTTTAAAATGAATCAAGATTTTTAAAAACGGTTTACGGCATTGTAATCAGGGTAAAAATCTAGTTCAAAATAATGGGTCACAACCCCACCTTTACATTTGAAAAAAATATTTTGCATCCAATATGGCAGATCCAAGATGGCGGCCGGAAATGTCCACCTTGTCAAAATGAAGTACTTACTACCCAGCAATGTTTGGAAGTGGTCTGGGATTGATATTTGAAAAAATGTAGAAAAAAGTTGGGGGGGGGGGACAATTAAAACTCACCCTGTATAATAATTGTAGCTAAAATACGTTTTTTTTAGTTTAAATTTGTCTAGTTAATTCTTTTTCTGATTTTACGCCGTTAATACATAAATTAGGTATATACCACTCAGTTAGTGAAATGTAGAGCTTTAAATTTCAAACAATATACATATGACTTTTGTGATATTAAGCCAACAGTCACGCCAATAATAAGAGATTGAATGCACCAGTATGCGCAGCGCATAGTGCCGTGGCGGCTCGGCACCACGACCGACCTACAACAATCATCCGCTAGCCACTGCCGAATTCGCAGTTAAATATGTGGAAAACGTTGTATGATGAGTAATATTATACAAAAATGCATTTTATTATGAACGAAAATATTTGATCACATTCACTAAATACTTCTTATATGATGGATGCTAAGTTTATTGGTTTTTGACCTGCAGGAACCAATTAATTATCAATTATGGTTTTTAAAAGACTTGATGCTAGTGATGGCAATTATACCTTATTACTTGGAATTTTGCAGAATTTATCATTACTTTGTATGTAATAATTGGCTATGGCAAATGTCTGCAAAATTCCTACAATAATAATTAATTAACCTATAATAAGATATTTTAATTGAACAGGGTAATTTTGTTTTATCTTTTCATTGTTAAAAATTTTCATTGTGTCTTGTCGTTAAAAACTGCCCTAAAACCCTGCAATAATAACGATACCAATACACTAGGTTGAGAATAAAAATGCTCTTTACTTCATTTTTTTATTTTTTATTTGGATTATTAAAAAACCTAATTAAAAAAATAAATTTGAATTAACATAAATTTACGTTATTTGTATAAATACATGAATAGGCTCTAGCCATGTTTAATCTTTTGATATGTGATACAATAATTACTTTATGGTGAATAATGCGTTTAAAAAGATTACAACATAGATAATTTTATTAGATAAGACTGGGACGCATCACTGGCTGTGTATTCTAACCGGAATATGAATGAAAGATGACAGTGGGATTGGTTATATGATATGTTTTTTTTAATAGATGTATTAATACGACAACTGCCTTGATTAAACGACACACATCCTATCCCTGAAAAACAATAAGGCTCCTGGACCCCTTGATTCTTTTGCGCATGTACAACACCTGCCTAGTCGATACTAAAAGGAGCTGTCGAAGATAGTTATAAGGTAGTATTGGCTGAGATGATGCAGGCTGATAAAACAGACAGACCAACATCGCCTCTTGAGGAGATGACGGAAGATGTAGGAATCAAAAATAGGGAAATTTTGGAACGCTTCCCATTGAAGGAAGAAGCCGATTTTAATGCCTTTGCCGAAGAAATGAAGGAGGAAGGATTTAGGAAGCAAGTGGTATGTGCATATGAACAATTATATTACACAAAATATGTGTGGATAATGACAAGTTTTGCTTTAATTCAAATTTTCTCTCGGTCTTGCTTATTTACTTACAAAGACTGAAAAATACAGTTGTTAACTACGACTTTTAAGTGTGATTCATCATAGTAAATCCTAATTGGCTTTTGAGAAACTTAGCGAGGTAAGAGTAATTTTCAAATCAAGGTTTCACAATGATTAATGTTGATTTGGCTGATGCTGAATAACAACACTGTTAATGTATAATGCAATGGACATGTATCTACTGCTTTCCTAAATAATATCAATGTGTCATTTTGTTTTCCATTTCATTAACAAACTAAACGAATAATAGCACTCCTTGGTATTGGCATCTCTTGTAATTATGGCATTGCCGTGGAGAGGACCAGGCATGAACAGAGGAATGTAACGGCCTAGCCGTACTCCTAATAATTAAATTGACTGCTCAGGAGATATGATAATTAAATAAGAAATTGACAGAGTAGGAGTAACTGCCAAATTTGTATAAATGGTCTGGTTTGGTGTTAACATCGACTATCACACCTTTATCAATACATTAGTATCAATAATTAATCAATATGATCATCGTCCAAACCAGTGGTCAGAAACTTAAGAAATATTTATTTGAGTAATTATTTGAAGATAATTGAGTCTCCATATGAATATCCCAGCATCGCCAAACCATCTCCAACCTCGTTTAAGTTATAACAATATTCTAATAGTAAAAGTTATGAAGCTGGAATATGTTCACTGCCGGTGCTGACTCGGGCTTTCTGCTGACGGAGCTAGCCTCCGTAGGGGAGTGTATTTGACGGGCAAAGAGGTCGAGCCTTTGTAATGAGAGTAAGAATGAATTAAAAAGAACTTTTATTACCTTTAGAAAGGTTTTTAATAACTTGAACAATACTACATTGAATTATAATGGACTTGTTTACAAACACAACAAAACAATAATAAAGAATTGAAGACACATGTTTTTTACTACATTCTTCCTCCCTAATGTTAATGAACGTAGTCATTTAAATAATTAGGAGGTCTTCTGCTTCTGAAACTTCTTCTCAGATATGTGTTATGGTTCTCTCCTCTAGAAGCTTCTTGTCTAGGTTGTAAATTCTCGGCAGTAGTATTCATTTCATCTTCTTGGTTCTCTGTTGATGATGGACTAGGAAAGTATTCAGATTCAGGTTGAGAAGTGGGTAATAGAATATTTTCATCACTCTCAAAATCTGTTTGCTCTATGTCGGTTTGGTACTCACCAACCGGAGCAAGATGACGTGTAGACACGGTAGTTTCTCTTCCGTCAGGCAACTTAACATGAGCATACTCGGCATTCCCGTGAAGAAGTTGGACCTCTTCAACAAGGGGCTCATACTTGGACGTACGATTGAATCTCTTCAAGTAGACAGGGCCGGAATTGAGAAGCCATGAAGGAGCTGAAACACCATTGTTCCCAGATCTACGTGGATGTAAGAACATACGCTCGTGAGGAGTTTGATTTGTGGCTGTACAAAGTAATGATCTCACTGAGCTGAGGGCATCCTCTAAAACTGTCTCCCATTGGTTTATTTCTAAGTTAAGTGATTTCAACGCCAGTTCAATTGTTTTCCATACAATGCCGTTATACCTTTCAACTTGCCCATTACCTGCTGGATTGTACGCAGTGGTTCTACTAGTTGAGATTCCAAGTGAGTTCAAGTAGCTTTTTAAGTCTTGGCTCATAAATGATGTTCCTCTGTCCGAATGTATGTAACTAGGAACCCCAAAAGTAGAAAATAATGTTTTTAGTTTCGACTTAACTGTTGACGACGACATGTCTGAACAAGGGAAAGCGAAAGGGAACCTTGAAAACTCGTCTACTATTACTAATAAGTAACGGTTTCGACTTGATGAAGGCAGCGGGCCTTTGAAATCGATATTTAGCCGTTCAAATGCAGAAGTGGCTTTAATCAAAATCCCTTTGTGTTTGAAGAATCTAGGTTTCACAGCAGCACACACATTGCAGGAGTTTGTTATTCGTCTGATTTCATCAATCGAGTAGGGCAAGTTTTTACTTCGAACCCAGTGGTACAAACGTGTCACACCTGGATGACATAGATTCGCATGTAAATCAATCAACAGTTTTTCTTGATTTTGGATTGAAGAACATACTCTAGACAGGGCATCTGCAGCCATATTATCTTTACCGGGTCTATATACAATATCATAATGAAAGCACGACAATTCCAGTTTCCACCTCATTATCTTTTCATTTTTCACTTTGCCATGACGGTTGTTATCGAACATAAAAGAAACCGACCTCTGGTCAGTAATCAGCTTGAAATGTTTACCAACCAAATAGTGACGCCATTTCCGCAGTGCTTCCACAATAGCTTGTGCTTCTTTTTCGACACTTGAATGTCTATGTTCTGCTGGAGAAAGTATCCTTGAAAAGAATGCGACTGGACGGTATGATTGAGTCAAAGTAGCAGCAATGGTACTCTCAGATGCATCAGTTTCTACGATGAACTGTGCTTCAGGGTCAATGCAGCTTACTACAGATCTGATGATTTCACTTTTTATAGTTTCGAAAGACTGGAGCCCTGCTTTGGACAAAGGGAATGTAGTACGCGCAAGTGGAATCACTTTGGTAGCATAATCTGGTATAAGTGATGCATAATGTGAAAACATACCAAGGGTCCTCCTCAGTGATGCGGTGTCTCTGGGTGGAGGTAAATTTTTCAAAGGATCTAGTCGACTGGGGTCAGGCTTGATAGTTTTGTTTGATATACGATAGCCCAACAAGTTGATCGATCGCAGTGAAAATGAAGACTTCTCATTATTAATCGTTAGGTTGTATTTGGATGCAGCTTCGATAAACTTTTTTAAGTTTATATCGTGTTGTTCTTGTGTTTTTCCACAGATTGTGACATCATCAAGATAGGCGTAAGTGTCTTGTAACTGTTCTGTTCGGATGACTTGGTCAATTACACGTTGGAATGCTGCCACCCCATTAGTGACCCCAAACGGGATACGCTTAAACTGGTAGAGTTGACCACAGGCCTCAAAAGCTGTATAGTGCTTTTCTTCATTTCTTATCTTTACTTGGTGGTACGCACTTTTCAAGTCGATAGTACTGAAAAACTCATAATTTGCAACTTTGTTAACGATATCATCGATTCTAGGTAGTGGGTAAGCGTCCAGTAATGTAAAACGATTTATAGTCCTGGAGTAGTCAATGACCATTCTTTTTCTATGATTTTCAGTAGTAACTACTAATGCTTGAGCCCTCCATGGAGACATACTAGGCTCTATAACATCGTCTTTAAGCAATTTACTTACTTCGTTTTCAATAAACTTTAAATCATCGGTGATATGACGATGATACTTGATAGCGATTGGCTTACATTCCGGTTTTAAATTAGAAAACAAAGATACCGGTTCTACAGTTGAGGCTGCCACGCTACATACGGTTAGTTGTGACTTGTTGCCACCAAAGACTACTTTAATACTTGCATGGTTTTTCAAAATATCATGTCCAACAATTATATCTGCACAAAGATCTGGTAACAATGAAAGATTAACTTGCTTGTAAAAGTGATCAAGAATGACAAGATTTACTTTGCATTGACCTGTTATGTCGGATGTGATTGATGTAGTAGCCATTGAGACAGTACCCCTACCTGGTTTTATAGGAATACCTAAATTAAGAGCAGTAGATTTGTTTATAAAACTTAGAGAGCTTCCCGTATCTATCAAAGCAGAGACAGATTTACCATTAACTAGGGCTTGTACTGTACTCTTTGTTAACCCACCGGGCGAAGCTGCTAGGTCAATAGAGTTCATTACTTCTTTAGATTTATCCAATTGCTTGGTTTGTAGTTTACCTGCCCTGCAGACCTTAGCAAAATGCCCCTGTTTACCACAGTTATGACAAATTGTATTTTTAGCTGGACATTTGACCCTAGGATGTCTTAGATTTCCGCAAAAGAAACATTTTTCAGTCACAGCAGCTAGAGAACACTTTTCTAAACTGCTTGAAGTTGCATCAACATTCTGATTGCTCGCTTGAGTTTCTTGGGACGAAGTTGCATTTAACAACAAAACAATAATAAAGAATTGAAGACACATGTTTTTTACTACAGCCTTGCTCAGGGTGTTGCTCAGTGACTACGGTGAACCGGTGAACGCTGATTGGCCCGCAAGGCGCATCAGCGCTAACGACAACGAAAGAATAAGGCAGTCCGCGGTGAAATCTCCAAGTGTCGATAGGTTTTCGGCTAACGAGGCTACGGGTCTCAACTGGTGTCAGGCCGTGTGGTGTGTTGCAAGAATACACACTACTAAAGATCTCCACGAGACAACAATGGGATTTGGTAAGTGATTGATTTTCTTACACAATATTACTGAATGTCCATAAAATAATAAATTATTAACAAGTGACCAATCATAATTAGAAGCTATCTGTGCATGTAACAATAATTTAAACTCATTTTTTGTAAAGACTCGAATCAAAAACTCTCACTTTTAACAATAAAATTAACTACCAAGAATTTCTGAATTAATTTCTTGAGTAGAACAAAGACGGTAGCCATTACTTGGCAAAGTGCTGTGACGTCAGAGCGTCACTTCCCCCTCTATAGCACAAAGCTGTATAGCTGCGTGCTGTTTGCTGGTAAAGAAGGTTGTCTTTACAGTTGCAAAACAAGATGGCGGCGACTGAGCTCCCGCGTTAACGACTCACGGCGCACTCGAGATACTTTAGGCCTAATGCATTATAGGACCTGATTGAGTTGCAAACAATTAAGTTGAATAATATTTTTAAATAAATTCTTGTGTATAAATAATTGAGTAGTTTATCCTTTTGATTAATTTTGTGAATTACATTATTTTAAAAGAACTTGAAAGAATTATTTAGGAAAACTAACCTTGTGTAAAACACTGCTTTTGTAACACTAGCGTAAGGTTGGAGGGAATATTTTAAGAGTTCACACTGACATGTGGTGGCGTTGCTAACAATGTTGAAGTAACTGAAATAGTTGTGAAAGGTAACATTATTTGTTAATTACATTAAATTCTTTAGTGACTTTTTCTAAATAAGAAAATAAATTAGTAAAACTTTGGATGCAAGAGGACTTTAGTGCACATACTTGTAGTTGACCTGTAACTTTGAACTTAGTCTTATTTTGGTAAAAATATATATACTTAAGAAATAAAACATTGTTTAGCAATCAGGACAAGCCACAGTGGACCCTTATGATATTCACTGGGTAGTTTTAAAATTAAAATAATGATGGAGATTTAATTGTGTTTTAACGTTTTCTTGGTAACTTTGGAGCAACAGTAGTCGTGCGGTGCTTTGGCGCAATAAAGGATTATAATAAAAAATTTTTTTTTTTATTTTCGCTTTCTGGGGGAAAGTTGACATAGTGTATACAGTCACGCGACGTGGTGGGCTGGTTAACATATTAGTAGTGGGAAATGAGGAATTCTGTCGGTAATAAAGACTTGTAATTTTTCTTGCTGTTTTTTGCGTACTGAATAGCTGACCTGACTGGACACCTGTTTAAATTTTTGGGACTGCCATAAATAAATAAAAGGGAGCGCGAGTCTGACTCATCGATCTCTATTATTACTACAGCTGGATCGCGCGCTGCACTGCTCAGAGATACACACGTATCGGTCCGCCGCTCCCCCCACCACGCAAGGGTGTTACTGTCTCTCTCTTACTCATTACGTCTTATGGCGTTTCCGCGTTTGCGCTCACAAAATACGCTATATCTCTGTTCATAGTGGCTCGATTGTCAATTTGTTTACACAGTTGTAATCTGCATGAAATTGCGGAGATTATGGTATATGTTTCATATCAAAATAATTATTTTTTAGATTATATTTATACTTAAATCTACTAAATACGGTTTTTTGATGCCTCTTTTTAAATTAATTATGAAGTTGTTATCATTGTTAATGATTAATTAACTTAATTTAGCATACACACTTATGTTTTTAATGTTTAATCTTGTGTTTTTTATGCATTTAACATGTAGGAGAGGACCCATGCTGATCCGCAGCTTTAAAATATATATATTATCCAAGAAAATCAAATTTATGATTTTTGATTGAGTAATACAGTATCTTGAGCTTAACTGATTCAAACGATCAATAAATCAAATTAAAGCACATACGTTACTGATTATTTTGAGTCCAGAACATATAAAAATCATGAAAAATACTGGAGCTATTGATTTTTAATCATAGAAATGTAGCGTGTCTACATCTTCACCCTAAATCAAGAGTACCGTAATATTTACTTTTTTTTCCTTTTGTATTTAGGTCAAGTTGTAACAGTTTCCTTAGTTCTTTTCGGCATTTTGGGCTTATCTAACGGCGAATCACGTGATTTCAATGCAAATGTAAGAACAAAGAGACGCGTTGAAGTTCCTATGATCCCGTATTGGAATAGGGAGGGGGCACACGGGCAATGTCATCTAGGTATTAATCGCACTTCACCCATCGTACTGTCGACATCATTGCTCTTGCTCATAACTAATATACACTCACACATGCGCATCTAATAGTTCAAATAAACCTTAAGTATTCAGCATAAAAATTATTATTATTATTTTATCGACCCTTGACTTTTCTCACGACCGTTACAGAAAAACCTCATGAAAATGGTTTTTATGTTGGCTCTTCACCTTGCGTTTGCTTGAAACTCGTCCGATTTGAATAACTAATAGCTTATGTGAAAGCCGGTATTTCACTGAAGGTCTCAGACCAACATATAGTATTATATAATTATAGATTGTAGGTTGCATCTTAAATTGATGTGAGAATCCAAAAATGAATAAAATTATGTTTTTTAGTAAAAAAAAACTAGATACATATATGCCGTTGCTTTATAGCAAATCTCTACGAGCATACCTTTAATTTTATATACGAATACTAGAAAAATACCGGTATGGATCATAAACATAAACAAATGACGTTGTTGGCCCAAATCCTATACTAATAGCATTGAACATATATTTTGGCAGTTCCATTTAAGCAATGTTAAATAATGTTTATTTTCGGGCCAAAAACGTCATTTGTTTATGTTTTTGATCCATACCGGTATTTTTCTAGTAATCGTGATTTTATACCTCAGTCATGAAAATCTGTCGGGTAGAAGTGCCAAATGAAAAACAAAATTTAACTTTCATAAGAAATACACGAGGAGCTAATTTCGTTTAAGTATAAGCCAAGTGGGATTATACTGATTATACATAAATATATGCCGATGCTTGGTGACAAATCTGAGCGTGCATACCTTCAATTTGACACCTCAATCATGAAAATCGGCTGCTTAGCAGAGCCAAACGAACTCGAAAAAAACCAAATCTTTTTAATATGTAAGATTTTTCATGTTAGTAATAAATTATGATTCATACAATTAACTTAGACAAAGTCATATATTTGTTCAGTTGGAGTGCCAAACGAAACGAGCACCAAAAGGCTTAGAATGGGTTATGAAAAAAACATGTTATTTACGAAACAAACCATTTATGTATGACAATAATATTTCATTACATACAAGTCTTAACTGCCATATTTTCTTTGATACTTATTTGATTTAAATGCGGTTTCCACCATTGTACTCGTCATAAGAGTACGAAGCTTTTGCTGTAGTTTTACGTCAGTAAAACCCCTGTTGTACCATTATTAAAACAATAAAAAAGCCTGATTCGTTATTTTTTTAGTTAAATTATTATTGTTAAGCCTAATTTTAAAATACAGAGGTCTAAAGCTATCTTGTTTACTAAATGCATTCTGCTTATGCATTTAGTGCATAAAACATGATGCATTTATGCATATGCATTATGCATTGTATTTTAAACACTTGTGTACTTACAAACAAATCCTTTTAAATCCGATTAAAATTGATTTAATGAAGAAAGCGTCCGGGATTAGTGTAGTTAAGTCACAATTATATTCTTAAGTTTTCGAAATTATCTAATTTATTGCCACAATCAAAGGAACGTATTTAGGGACATTTTAGGACATCAGGGAATTCTGGGGGAAAATTATGATGGTTCTTGGGAAATTTCGCTCAGGTTTGTTGGCAACACTTTTCAATTCAGTTGTGCATTGTTGTTAATTTTGAATTTTGTCAACACAATATGCCTAATACTTCATTATGGCGAAATACTGCACGGTGTACAACTGCTATAATAATTCTACGGACAAGACGTTATCGTTTCACCGGTAAGTGTATGTTAAGAAGAATTTGTTAAAACTACATTTATATAGTTATATTAGTATAACCTTTAAACCCAAAATCACAGTTACACTCCTATTGTTTGCATGTAAATTTGGTTATTGTATATTTTAGTTTATACAAGGTGTTTAATACTCTACAACTTCAAACCACAATAAACCTTTTATTTTCATCTAAAAGCCATGAAATGTGTTTGTCATTATTTGCACGCAAATAATAAAAGTCCAAATTCCAGTTATGGACCAAACTTGAACTAAAATAAGATATTTTATTCCAGCAACATTTGAAGATTGTAATTTGGATTGGAGGGGATTTTGTGTACGGTAGAGGGTTTTGTCACAGACAATATAATACTCTAATGTTTACTCAATTGTCTGTGGTTTTGTGGTCAACTCGTCTACCGCCCACA